TGGCCACTATTAGGAGCGTGTGTCATATCTGTAAAACAATCGTGAACATGCTTGGTATGTGAAACATATGACAGATATTTTCCAGAATTACAACAAAATTGAGTTTTCCACATTTCCTGCAATGCGGTAGGAAATCCTCGTGTTTAGAGCGAGATGATGAGTGATGGGGGATATTTCTCCGTCAATGCTGATGTCACTAATCTACAAGAACTGTAAAAAACAGACCCCCGCTGGCCTCATTTTTGGCCACTATTAGGAGTGTGTGTCATATCTGTAAAACAATCGTGAACATGCTTGGTATGTGAAACATATGGCCAGAGAGATTCCACGAGACAATTGGACTTCAGTTTTTGCTCGGACACGGCCAAGGCTATAAAGCAGAGCAGCTGGGGTCGGAATTCCTCTGTGTTTGCGTTACTCTTTAGTCATGCGTGATAGTAGACATGCTGTTTCTCAGACAGCCATCGTGAAGCTTGACGTTTGAATGTAAAGTACATTGAGATCTAATTGTCTAAACGCACTAGTTGAGATATTTGGTAACACTTTAGACTACTGTTCACTATTAACTATTTGATCATTAAAATGCGTATTACTAGCATATCGGCTGTTTATTAGTACTTATAAATCACATGTTGATGCCTTATTCTGCATGACCATATTTTAAATCTTTTAATCCTATTCAATACCTAAACATAACAACTACCTTACTAACTATTATTCTAACTAGCAAATTAGGAGTTTGAGGGCAAACTCACTTATTCATGTAATAGGGAATATGTGTTCCCCAGCAATCTAAAGTGTTACCAAATATATAGATTTGACATTTTCGGATTTATCCTTGGGGGGAAAAAATAAGCTTAATTGTACTGAATGTGCACTTTTACTGTACTTCAAAACTTAGAAGTAAATAAAAAATAAAATAAATTTAAAAACTTACAAATAATATAATACATTCTCATAAATAAATAATCATGTTGCTGCCTTACATTTTTAAGTATCACCAACTTAGTTGTGCAACTCATTTTGACTTAAATTTAAACTGGCTTAAAGTTGAATTTCAGATAACGTGTTGCATTTTAAATCATCGTTTAATCTTTTGTACCACATTTTCATTAAATTGCAATTAAAATGAAATTAAATGTCTGAAAACATTACATTTAATTTGCACTTAAGTATACTCGTTTTATTAACCTACTTTTTTTTTTTAAGTATGCAGTTGTATTATCCGTAATAATATGAATCTGAGTCTTATAAACAGTCTTTATAATAATAATAACACTATAGTCCTGCAAGAAATTAAAATATAAGGCAGAGGCTGTAGCTGGTCAATTCAGTTCCCAAACTCACCTTACAAATATTAATGGTGCATTTTAAACTTGGACAAGAGTGCAAGAAATGTAATAACATTTATCATTTACAACTAAATGCAAGTTATAGGCATCCAAGTACTACTATTCATTAAATGTAGGAGACCACGGCTATACTAAGTTGTGCTCTCAAGTCCAAAATAAACTAACTAAAATGGGAACAGTCAACCTACTGTCCACTTTCCAGGTTTATAATACTCCACCCTCTCACTCAAAGACCCTGTGTGAGACCCCGAGACAGACCGAAAACTGGCTTGTGATGGTTTAGACAGAATCTAAATCAAAGAATATAGCTTTAGCAATAGAAGAGAAGATCACAAACAGGATCTCATCAGTATCTTGCTTGTTATTCCTAGACAGAAGTGAGATTAGATGACGATCAAAAGGAGACTCGCAGGTCATTGTGGTTTCCTGCTTTCTCCTGAGAAAATGACCCCGGTAAGCGCGCATGTCTCCACTAGAATTGATAAGATCCCAATGTCTCAACATTTCAAAAAGAACAAAATATGAACTCAAAATATTTGATTATTAACTTTGCCCATTAACACCAAATTATCTAACCTGTTACATGTATTTATTTATTCATTCATTCATTCATTTATTGCTCTATTTCATTGTTACCAGTTTTTACATTAGTCAATTTTAATTTCTAAGGAAATTTATGAAGTTGATTATTAAATTAAACACTTCTAAATTATACAGTTTTACTATTTGATTAGCATTATATATCATTAGTATAATTAACCAATACAAAATATAAAGAGCATAAAAAGGATGGTATGAAATTTATATAAAAAATACCAAATAAAAATATAAATAAACATCTTTGAGAATGAAACTCATGAAACTATTTTATTGTATTATAATTTTTTCGGATTTATCCTTGGGGGAAAAAAATAAGCTTAATTGTACTGAATGTGCACTTTTACTGTACTTCAAAACTTAGAAGTAAATAAAAAATTAAATAAATTAAAAAACTTACAAATAATATAATACATTCTCATAAATAAATAATCATGTTGCTGCCTTACATTTTTAAGTATCACCAACTTAGTTGTGCAACTCATTTTGACTTAAATTTAAACTGGCTTAAAGTTGAATTTCAGATAACGTGTTGCATTTTAAATCATCGTTTAATCTTTTGTACCACATTTTCATTAAATTGCAATTAAAATGAAATTAAATGTCTGAAAACATTACATTTAATTTGCACTTAAGTATACTCGTTTTATTAACCTACTTTTTTTTTTTAAGTATGCAGTTGTATTATCCGTAATAATATGAATCTGAGTCTTATAAACAGTCTTTATCCCTTAATGGCTGAATAGAATAATGAAATGTCTTCTATTTCTCCTTATAAACAGTATTTTAAAAAACGCTGTATGAAATTTATATTAAACAAATATATTAAATAAGAATATTAAAATAAACAATTTTTGGGAGTGAAACTATATATTTTTTATTTTATTTAATTTTATTTTATTTTATTTAATTTTATTTTATTTTATTTTATTTTAAATTTATATAAAAAATACCAAATAAAAATATAAATAAACATCTTTGAGAATGAAACTCATGAAACTATTTTATTGTATTATAATTTTTTTCCCTTAATGGCTGAATAGAATAATGAAATGTCTTCTATTTCTCCTTATAAACAGTATTAAAAAAAACGCTGTATGAAATTTATATTAAACAAATATATTAAATAAGAATATTAAAATAAACAATTTTTGGGAGTGAAACTATATATTTTTTATTTTATTTTATTTTATTTTATTTATTTATTTATTTTATTTTATTTTATTTTATTTTATTTATCCCTTAATGACTGAACAGGATAATGAAATTTGTTCTATTTCTCCCTTATGAAATCCATTATCCTATCCAATTTCAACAGGACTTTTTTTGTATTAAGAAAGAATCAGCTTTTTTAATTGTCTTGTGGGGTGTTCGGGAATTAGGTGTTTTTCTCCAAGTTACATCACAAGGGGCAGAGAGAGTGTACGGTTTGAATAGAAATCACTGAGGCCCAAATTCACCCGCTCGGTTGTGTTGTGGCCTCTCCGTCTTCCAAACGTGCTGGCAGGAGCCACTGCTCGTGAATCCATTCGGCACTTGTTTTTCCTGGCCTACTACTATTGGGACGTCTGTGGTTTTGCCTCGCTTACTCCTCGAGGTTTCTATAACAGTTAAAAACTCATGGCAAAGACAATGTATTTCTAGGATTATCAGATGTGACCCGACATTCTGAGATGATGAATTAAATTAAGTGATTTAATACTGTCTCAGCGAGTTCCTGTTTTGAATGCTTAGAGCAAAACCCGGCACAAATGCAGAGAAAGGTAGTGTCATAAATCAGGCTCCATGTCTGTGGTTTTGCCTCGCTTACTCCTCGAGGTTTCTATAACAGTTAAAAACTCATGGCAAAGACAATGTATTTCTAGGATTATCAGATGTGACCCGACATTCTGAGATGATGAATTAAATGCTGGAATAGAGAAACAGTCCCACACACGTTGAAAGTAAATCCTTCACCATCCCTCTTCATTAAATGCCAGCGTGATTTAATACTGTCTCAGCGAGTTCCTGTTTTGAATGCTTAGAGCAAAACCCGGCACAAATGCAGAGAAAGGTAGTGTCATAAATCAGGCTCCATGAGGTCATTTCAGTTCCTGTGATGTAATACTGCCCCCTGCCTGCTACCTGAAACAAACCACAATTTTAAACTGAAAAACAAGTGTCCAGTAGACTATTAGTTTCTTAATAAGCTCCTTATATTACCACATTTGATCCTACTTGATATGGACAGCTACTTATATACCATGAATGTTGCTCTCTGCAATTGTGGATTGGTGTATTTATTTACGAACATGTTTTCAAGACAACAACAAGAGAAATGTACTAAATTGTTTTATTTCAAGCAAGTCATATTCAATATCGATTCATATAGCTAATGAAACCACTATATTAACATAATTGGTGTAAAATTGTGTAATAATACAGTAATGACATAATAATAACACTAAAGCAAGGTCATGCTATGCGTGTATAATAACAAATTCCCAAAGCATTTTTTTCTGAGATTTTTAGCTAAATACCTGTCAGAAGTTCGGACATGCTGAACTGAATTTAACTGAAAATGAAATGAGTGAGTTGTATCAGATGAAGTAAAGTGTTAAGTACACATGCACACTCCTATAGTACTGTTTATATAGTATCCCAGAATGCACCAGGATGTATAGTGATTTCAGTGTATGCAGCGTTATAATCTAGACAAAGGGGTGACTACTTAATTTTCATAGGTTTTATTGTTTGTTGGCTGGTAATGTGTATGGGACCATCAAACAGATAAATGATTAAAAGTTGATTTTAAGCAGATGTCTTTGTCTCAATTTATAATAAAATGCATGTAATTCATACAAGTTAATTTTTAATGAATTATGAGACATGATCTTAAGAAATTGTTCAAAAATGTTCTACATACACTTCTCTACAATATTTTCTGATGCATTGTTTCACTCACAAATATAACCGAGAACACACAAAGAAACATAGTATCTTGGAATATCAATTAATGAGAAATGAACAAAACTATTTAGTTACAAAATAAAATAAAGTGATGATGTGCCACTTTGGAATAAGCAATTCTATTTAAACGTTTTAAATTTAAATTAAACATTGACAACGTTTTTCAGCTTTAAGCACTATAGCACTTTCTTGAATTAACTTTTTCGAAGAATGTTACTAACAGATGCATTGTACTCTCAGATTTTTACTCAAAATAGATCCAAAAGCGATGAAAAGTACAAATATCAGGCATTTATACTGTATGTCTCTGCTTGCAGAGATTTCAGTCTAGATTATTACAGTGACTGCACTAGATCCACCTTATTACCAGATGTTAACCTTCATTACCGGTGATTCTGTTAATATGAATCACCTCAAACCTTGACTAGTGCACATCTGATGTCTGCCGTACATCTGCTTCATTGAAAGAAAACAATTGGGATCCTTTGAACAGATGCAACCAATCTCATCTTCAAAGAGTTTGAGGGATCAGTATTCCTTAAGGTGTGAGAGCCTTTTCAATCATTTCAGGCTTCTTACACATTCCTCAATATTCCTCTGGGTTCTTGAGTATTTGTGGGCACTTAAAGGTTTGCTGGGTTGTCTTCAGCTCTTTTGGATACCTTAAAATGTTTTATCCTTCTTCAAGATCCCTCAGGGCTCTTTGGGATTCTAATGAGTTCCTTAAAGATTGGAGCATTTCAGTTCTTTGAATTGCATCTTTAGAGATCCTCAAGAAAGACCAGATTGGAGCATCTGGTCATGCATTCTTTCCAGGATGCGGTGAATGCTTGCGAAACTAGGCCGGTCAGTGGGATGAGTGCTCCAACACAAGCGCATGAGGTTATACAGCTCCTGTGGGCAGTTTTCTGGACAGGTGAGCACATTTCCATCCCTTACATAGTAGATGACCTCCTCGTGGGCCATGCCATAGTATGGCTGCATGCCATATGAGAAGATTTCCCATAATACCACACCATAAGCCCACACATCTGACTCGCTGGTGTAGCGGTTGTAGAAGATAGATTCAGGTGGCATCCAGCGAATCGGTATGGCGTCATTTTCACCAGCTTTGTAATAATCTGCTGCATATATGTTGCGCGAGAGACCAAAATCCGCAATTTTCACGACCAGGTTTTCGGCGACCAAACAGTTGCGGGTAGCTAGGTCACGGTGCACAAACTTGCGTTCCGACAAGTACGCCATTCCTGCCACCACCAGCTTGGAAATGGAGAGCTGCTCCAGGCAGCTGAGGGGTGGGTAACGCTCAGGTTCTGACACGAGACTGCTGCACGTCAAGGTATCCCGACTTAGACTGGGCTGCTGAGTTGGAGAGCGCCGTCGCAGGAATTCATTCAAGTCCCCATAGGCCATGTATTCAAACATGAGACACATGGGCTTCCCCACCGCACAGACTCCTGCATGACAGATACACAAACGACAGGCTTAGTTGTGCTTCCAACAGTTGATACCTAACCAAAAATATCCTTCTGTTATTCTAACACTGGGTCGAGGCATTGAATCTCGTTCCGGAATGCCACAGAGGGGACTGATCCAGGGTTACACACTGGGTCAACTCTGAAATGGATAAGTCAAGCTATTTTAAGGCTTTTTCAATTGTGTGGTACCCTTAAGGCAAGGACATAAGTTTAATAGGAAGCAGATGTGGTTCGTTTTAGGAAAGTCCTCAAGCAGATGTATAGTGCAAGCCTTTGAAGGCATACAGTTGAGATACATTACCCAGGAGACGGACAATGTTGGGGTGATCAAACTCAGCCATGAGTGCAGCTTCTCTTTGAAAGTCGTTCTGCATATCAGCCGAAGCTTCCTCCTTCAACATCTTCACTGCCACCATGGTGAACGGCTCCATCGGCAAAAGACCAGGGGCTCTAAAGTAAAGAAGGCTGCCCCAGCGAAGCCAGAAATGATGAAGATGATAACGCTCATTGAATAGGCTGTAGACACAGGAGGAGGTGGGTAAATCTGGACCGGTTTTGTAATGGAGGGTGCAGTCTTCACACTCATAACTGAAGAAAAGAAAAATAATGATAAGCCAGGACCAGCATTTGTACTATATTTCAGAGTTAGCTGACAATCTAGCATTAGTTACCCCAGTCAAAAATAATTTAGAATTTTCTTAGCTTTGTTCTAGTTTATCTTATTTATTCGTGAGATATACATTTATATACCTTCTCCACATTTGGGCACCAGACAGTACTCCCAGCGTACATTAGGGTTTGTGGTGTAGCACCATGGCCTGTCACTCTCTCCGCCTGGGTTACGACAGTAGTTTTCTGCATTTCGCAACTCAGGAATCACATCTACAGAAAGTCTATGCAGATGGGGATCCTGAGTGGGATAAAAACAGAGCGGTCAACCAAGAAACTCAAACCTCTGTGGCTAAATTCAATATTCCCATTATCCCTGATATTTCCAGCACTGTGAGGTTGAATCCCACCACATGCATTAAACCTTTCCACACTGTTTTGAAAAGAGACAAAATCTTCTCCATTCAAAACTTCATTTCAAAGGAAACCTCTGGATTTGCGTATTTTGACTGTCCATTTTGTCACTCTCTTGCAGTATATAATTACCATTTCATTGCTGCTTCCCATAAACTTTTGCCAATCCATGAGCAAGACAACAGCTTGCAAAGATGGCATGGAAACATTTAGATAGGAACATTTACTCAGCTGTCCAATTTCCCCAACTTCCTCACATGCTTTGGCTATAAACCACCGTAATCTTGTCCATCGACAGGTCTGCTGTCCTCACATTCCTCATGAGGCATTTCATATAAACAAATAAAATCTACAGCATCGTCCTGCCAAGAACAATACGTGGCAGTTTTTCCACTAACACCCATTGTTTTCATGGGACGCATGCTTTATGAACATCATTGACAATCAGCCCCAAAATATCACAGGATTTTCAGAACTAAAAATGTATGTTTATATAATAGCGTGTCACGCTTACCAACGTAAGGAACCGCTGTGCATGAGGATAGGTCTGCTTGTTGGCTGGGTAGAGAGGTGCATTCTGGGAGAGTGATGCTGTGTGGGAACCCTCGATGAGATCTTTCCTCAGCAGAGCGCCACTCCTTGTAACAGTACAGCTCTTTCACTGCCAGACAGTGCTCCCTGTGACACAACAGCACAGTGTATGTAGAAATATATATATATAGCATGGGTGGTTTAGTGGTTAAAGCTTAGGGCTAGCATTTGAAAACTTGCCGGTTTCTGGGTCAACCACCATTGTTTGCTCAAGCATGATGAGCAAACCTCAGGTTGCTCCACTACTGTGACTTGCTTTGGATAAAAGCATTTACTAAATGAATACTTACTAAATAGCACTATGGGTCTTTTTTTGTATGTGGTGCCGTTTCTGTGCTTGAGGAAAATCATGTCATATTGTATTTTGTATCATATTGTAAAACTATATTTGATTTATTTTACTTTACTTTACTTATTTATTTATTCAAATTAAAATGATTATTTTTTTAATTATTTCATTATTTAAAATATAATAATAAAATTAAATATACTACAAATATGCATGTGCACAATATAATATAAATACACCAGGGCTGCATTTCCCAAAAGCATCGTAAGTTTAAGTTGATCGTAAAAACGATCGCACGAATCATCTTAGACTTGCGGACCATATCCCAAAACTATCGTAACTTAAGTAGTACTTGAAAATCTTCGTAGATCTACGAGTGCTCTGGAGTAATTGTAAATACCTACATTTACATAAAATCATAAAAAGAATTATGAGGTCACATGCAGGACAATCGACAGATTACACCTTTAACTTCATTCAAGTGCAATGTGATTATAATTAAAGCTTTTGATTGTACTTTATTGTAGGGATGCACCGAAATGAAAATTCTTGGCCAAAGCCGAAACCGAACAAAATGAAATACTGGGCCGAAGGCCGGATAATGAACAAGGTTTTTTGAGGGGTTTTTTTCCCCCATGTATTTTGCCAATTTTTTTCACCACTGCACAAATTAAATAGCCAAAACGTGCTTTTTACTGTTTTGTCTTGCTTTTCAAAGAAAAAAATCTATTACAAAACAACAATTTAAAAGTATTTAACACTGAAATATGGAAAATAAGGAATATAGGAAATATGCTTCAAAGACTGGGAAAAACAGGGATAAACTCAAAAAATGACTTGCTGACGTGCACTAAAACCAGCCATGTATTTGACCCCGAAATAACATCTCTACAGATATTTTATACTATATAGTATAAAAGTAATCTATAAGTATAAGATTGATCTACTATATATATAATATACATTATTATATATTAGTAGATTAATATTATACTTATAACTATTATATTATATTATATTATATCCGAGCTGTCAGGAACGCAGCATTAGGTTAACATTTCAATAAACGAGCGTGTACTACAATTACAAGCCATTCTATAAATTGACATTTCAGCCCTTGACAAACGGAAAGCGACTCCTAAGTAGCACCTAAAGCAGGGTACGAGTGATTGTGTTAAGTGCATTTTTGGGAAACGTATGTGAAACAATAATGAATGTTCGTAAAATGACTCACAGAAACAGCTCTTAAACACTAAGATCAATCATTATCGAGAAACGCGGAGTAATTGTAAATACCTACATTTACATAAAATCATAAAAAGAATTATGAGGTCACATGCAGGACAATCGACAGATTACACCTTTAACTTCATTCAAGTGCAATGTGATTATAATTAAAGCTTTTGATTGTACTTTATTGTAGGGATGCACCGAAATGAAAATTCTTGGCCAAAGCTGAAACCGAACAAAATGAAATACTGGGCCGAAGGCCGGATAATGAACAAGGTTTTTTGAGGGGGTTTTTTCCCCCATGTATTTTGCCAATTTTTTTCACCACTGCACAAATTAAATAGCCAAAACGTGCTTTTTACTGTTTTGTCTTGCTTTTCAAAGAAAAAAATCTATTACAAAACAACAATTTAAAAGTATTTAACACTGAAATATGGAAAATAAGGAATATAGGAAATATGCTTCAAAGACTGGGAAAAACAGGGATAAACTCAAAAAATGACTTGCTGACGTGCACTAAAACCAGCCATGTATTTGACCCCGAAATAACATCTCTACAGATATTTTATACTATATAGTATAAAAGTAATCTATAAGTATAAGATTGATCTACTATATATATAATATACATTATTATATATTAGTAGATTAATATTATACTTATAACTATTATATTATATTATATTATATCCGAGCTGTCAGGAACGCAGCATTAGGTTAACATTTCAATAAACGAGCGTGTACTACAATTACAAGCCATTCTATAAATTGACATTTCAGCCCTTGACAAACGGAAAGCGACTCCTAAGTAGCACCTAAAGCAGGGTACGAGTGATTGTGTTAAGTGCATTTTTGGGAAACGTATGTGAAACAATAATGAATGTTCGTAAAATGACTCACAGAAACAGCTCTTAAACACTAAGATCAATCATTATCAAGAAACGCAGCCCTGTTTCTTACGGGAGCCCAGTAGTGCACAACACAACGAAGTTGCGGCTTGTTTCAGTTGTGTTGTGCTAATTTCGTTGTGTTGTGACTTGTTTTCATTGTGTTGTGCTAATTTCGTTGTTGTGATTGTGTTAAGTGCATTTTTGGGAAACGTATGTGAAACAATAATGAATGTTCGTAAAATGACTCACAGAAACAGCTCTTAAACACTAAGATCAATCATTATCGAGAAACGCAGCCCTGTTTCTTACGGGAGTCCAGTAGTGCACAACACAACGAAGTTGCGGCTTGTTTCAGTTGTGTTGTGGTCATTTTGTTGTGTTGCGACTTGTTTCTATTGTATTGTGCTAATTTTGTTGTGTTGTGACTTGTTTTCATTGTGTTGTGCTAATTTCGTTGTGCTGTGTTAATTCCGTTGTGTTGTGACTTGTTTCCATTGTGTTGTGCTAATTTCGTTGTTTTGCGACTTGTTTCCGTTGTGTTGTGGCTAATTTCATTGTGTTGCGACTTGTTACCATTGTGCTGTGCTAATTTCGTTGTGTTGCAGCTTGTTTCAGTTGTGTTGTGCTAATTTTGTTGTGTTGCGACTTGTTTCTATTGTGTTGTGCTAATTTCGTTGTTTTGCGACTTGTTTCCATTGTGTTGTGGCTAATTTCATTGTGTTGCGACTTGTTACCATTGTGCTGTGCTAATTTCATTGTGTTGTGGCTTGTTTTCATTGTATTGTGCTAATTTTGTTTTGTTGCGACTTGTTTCCATTGTGTTGCAGCTTGTTTCCGTTGTGTTGCAAATTGATTGTATTGTGTTGTGCTAATTTTGATGTGTTGCGACTTGTTTCCGTTGTGTTGTGGCTAATTTTGTTGTGTTGCGGCTTTTTTCCGTTGTGTTGTGCTAATTTCATTGTGGTGCGGCATGTTTCTGTTGTGCTAATTTCGTTGTGTTGTGTTAATTTAGTTTTGTTGTGGCTTGTTTCCGTTGTGTTGTGCTAAT